CCGGCTTCTCTTTTTCCCGTTCAGTTGAGCTCATCCCCTTCGTCGTACTCGCAAGTTCCCGAACCACATTCTTTACCTCAACCCTATCACCCCACCGGTTTTCCTTCCGAGGTGAGTTTGTAATTTTTCTCTGATTTGTTATTTTGAGTTGTTACGCTTGCACATTTCTTAGTTTGCGTGTCTTTATTCTTTTGAACAGGAACCGTCGAAGCAGTACTTGGGCGATTCCCAGCCTTTTTCATTAAACCAGTTTTCTGCTGACAGACCTAAATTTATTGATGCTTCACATTTATTTCGGCATCCTCATCGGACTTCGCGGCCTGATCATTTTGTGATAATCTTTCGGGGCCTCCCAGGTGTGGTTCTGCGCTGGAGTTTCGTTATTTGTTTGTTGTGTGCATTTGTTCCTGCAGAGTTCTTTTATATTGTTGTGTTGAGGAAGTGCTGTTGTGCACGTTTTCTCTGTTTGATGTTTTCTTTTATTAATAGATAGACAAGTTGTTTGTTTATATAAATGGAATAGGAGTAGTGTGGATGCAAATTCATCAGTGGTATGCAAATTACTTGTTTGAATCTGTTACAGGTAGTGGTAAGAGTTATCTGGCAAAGATGCTGCGTGATCTTGAGGTTGAAAATGGCGGTGATGCACCTCGATTTCATTCTATGGACGATTATTTTATGACAGAGGTTGAAAAGGTTCACGAGTCCTCTTTGCTTTTTATTTAGACTGATTATTCTTATTGTCGTCTATGGGGTTTTATCAGTTCATAAGTTATGGTGGAAGTTGTTTTGATAGTTTTATTTTCTTTTAAAAGGTTGAGGATAGTGAGGCATCAAAATCTTCAAGTTCAGGCAGAAACAAGAAGCCTGTGACAAAGAAGGTCATGGAGTATTGTTATGAACCTGAAATGGAGGAGGTAGCGTTATTGAGCATTTTATTTTATCATTTGTATTACAAATGTTTGCTGTCATTTGTTTAGAATTATTGTACTAGATTTTTGTTTGTCTGTGCAATTTCTCTGATTGGAAATGAGTTGTAGAGAGAGCATCGTGTCATTGATTGTGCCTAGTTTATTGTTTTATCTTATGAACTTTCTTTTTCTTTTAAATTTGATACATATACACATACATACCTATATATATATATATATATATATATATATATATATATATACACACACACACACACCTATAGACATATATGTAATTTGAGCACTGTAAGACTTCTTGTTACATGGAGTATATGGATTTGAGCCTTTGAGACTTTTTTTTATGCTGTAATTTTTTTGGAATAGATTTCAAATTGAAATATTACAAACTGCGATGATTGGTACATGGGGGGCAGTGGAATGTGCTCTTTGCAACGCAGAGTGTTTGGGGGCTAGCTTGCATGTTATATGGTAGAAAAATGGGAACTAGGCCATGTCAGCTTGGTTGCTGGGAATTTCTCTTTTTTTTCTGTCCTTTATATATATTATCTACTTGTCATCTATAAATTCATAATTTCTTGAGAAATACTGGAAAAGTCAACGTTTTAAGTTCTATTTTACTAACGTTTGTTTGTGATATTATGCATTTGCTTCAAGTACTCTGTGAATTCCTTGATATGCACTTATTTACCTTGTCTGCTCATGCTTTTGTTTTACAACCCATCATGACAGGCTTATCGGTCAAGCATGTTGAAAGCTTTCAAGAAAACTGTTGAGGAAGGAGTTTTCACCTTAATTATTGGTATGCATCTCATTAAGAATACGATAGCAAGGTCATTCTTAACAAATGGTTTCCACTTTTTCAAATATTATATTGTTAAGATCATTGTTTTGCTCTGCATAGAAAATTCTGCCTTTTGTCCCAAGTTGCATATTCATTTATTGTGAATTATCAAGGAATACTGATTTGATCTGATCTGGCATGTGTTTAAGTGAAATTACCTAATTAATGTTTTATTTCGGAAATCGAAAGAAATTATTTTCTTAGGTGAATTGTAGTAACTTAAGCATAGAGTCAGAAAATGGTTGGGGGATCTATGGTGGCTTGTTAAAAAAATTAATAAGTTCAATGATGTGGCTTCATTTTAGATTAAGTGGTGATGCAGTGTGCATGCACTGCCTATTTATTCACTAACAACAGATGCAGTTTTTTGTTCGGCAATGTGACCCTTTTCTTGGTGGTATTTGTGCCTCATCTTAGTGGATGACCGCAATCTGCGGGTAGCTGATTTTGCTCAATTTTGGGCAACTGCAAAGGTATACCCTTTTTTCTTTCTTGCAACCTCTGCCATGTGTGCTCAAGACGACTCACAATATCTTTGCAATACTCTCTCCTAATATCAGAAATAGGTGCAGAGAAATGTTTCATGTGTCTTGTAGTTTACCTAGTTTTGTAAAGCATATACAGTTTCTTGTTATCATCATGCATGGAAAACTAGCAAAGAAAAGGGTAGAGGATAAGAAGTGCACTTAGTATTAATAATAAAGGCAAAACACTAAGTTTTACCATTGATAGTGATCTATAATTGTGCTTCATGGTTGTTTGTTTTGTTTAATTATGGAGAGGCCAATCAGTGACTGGCCAAGGACATTGATCTAAGATGTGGAGGGTAGGGTTTACTTGGTTTACAGCAGAAGAAACCCAAAAATAGACTAAGCCGAGGATATGTAGGTTATTCTGTTATATTCTACTTTGCGTGTGATCCACCAATAGTGGAGGGGTGACTATGGGGGAAGTGTGTGGATCATGGTTTTCCTTTCTGTTTTTATTTTTGGCCTCTAGCTTTGGCAGGTATAGTTGTCCACATGGAGCATAGCTCTGGGGGTAGGGAGTTAACCATTTTCTGGTGTGATTCTCCTACATTCCTACCTTATTGCAAGTTCAATTTGACTGTTCACTCATTTGGCTCCCACCGTGAGACTTTGTATGACTCATTTTATGCACAAGGCTGTTAAAGATAATAGAAAATGAACTGTAACTTTAAATAGGGAGGTTGATACCACTTCCTGTACCATGTTCTTTTGTTTTAAATGTGCTACAACCTACTGAAGTTCTAGTCTATAAGTATTTGAATTAAAAGTTGGTTTCTTTTGAAGTGCATGAATAAATGCTAGTAGCCTCTGTGTACTGTTACAGTGATGAATACATATTTCATTCCTAAATATATGCATGAATTGAAGAGAAGGTACACGAGATCTGTTTGTTCAATTTGTTTCCTTCGCTGATAGCTGTTCCTCTTGCTTTCAGAGATCGGGCTATGAAGTTTATATTTTAGAAGCTACGTACAAGGACCCAGTGGTGCGTTTTACTGTTCTGCCTACCAAGCATCATTTCATTCTTCTTTCGGCCTTTAAAACAACCAAAAATTTACTATCATAACAGAGAGCCTTTCCTTCTTTTCTGTTTATCTTTCAAAACATGGAATTAACTTTTTGTATATCGAGTTTAAATTCTTTGGTGGTTATTGATGACTGAGTCCTCTTAGCAATTATTTTTTATAGTTGCGGTTTTTATATTTTTCAACAGGGTTGTGCTGCTAGGAATGTCCATGGATTTACTCAGGAAGACATAGAAAAGATGTCTAAGCAATGGGAAGAAGCTCCATCCTTGTATCTGCAGCTTGATGTAAAGGTTTGTTGTATATCTGATGTTATTTAGTATTTGGTAGAAAGTATGGCATTTTCTAGCCATAACATTAGTGCAAGCTGTATGATAACGTATTCTTACTAGCACCTTCATTTTTTTATCTTTATTCACTTGACAGTCTTTATTTCATGGAGATGATCTAAAGGAAAGCAGGATACAGGAGGTAATTAAAATATTTGCATATATTTATCTCTTTAGCCTTTGTGTGCTATTTAAGTGTCAAGAATTTCAAATATTATTCTATTTTTTTAAGCGTGGGTTAAAGATGAAGCAATGGAGTGAAAAGAGAAAAGGCACAACCAAAGTTATTTCCTGGAAAAAAAATTATGTAGAATGTTTAGTCAAAGGGTGATGCTAAATGCAAGAAATTAGTCCAACCTCCCTGTGAATCAATCAGAAATAGTAATAAACATAACAAAATCTATGAAGATATTGGTGAGGATGTGAGCATCACTACTTCTAGTGCCATCAAAGTTTTCTTTAGTAATTCTTGCCAAAGCTTTTGAATTGTCAAGAGAAACTGCTTAAATGAAATATAAGGATACAACCTATGTTACCAATACTTCCAAAAAATTATTCTAAATCAAAGCAAAATAACTTGCCAATATTGTAAAAATAGATTAGCTTTTACTTCTCATCCGAGTCGAGCTCTCCATGACATACAACAGTAGAGAGCTGAGGTATATGAAGTCAGCACCTTGCTCATGGAAAAGTCATACTGGGATTTTGCAAGCTTACTTCTCTGTATTTGTTAGCATTCTGGTGACCATGTTTTTTTTGGGGGGTTTACTTCTGGATACCAAATTTAATATGGTAAACATTAATACTATTTGTTATCCTATTAAATTACTATATAAAACATAACACATGTTTAAAGGTATACAATGAATGAATCGTATATGCATGTTTTCTAAATTTTTATATATATATATTTTTTATTTTACCATAAAAATATCTTTTAATATGCATCATACAGATTTCTTGGTGATCTGTCCTGTGCTTATGAAGTGTATACTATTAAAGGGTTGGTTTCTAATTGAATGATATGTGTGGCTACCATATGATCGGTTTCATATTGCACTTATCGCAGGTTGACATGGATATGGAAGATGATATTGGAGATGTATTACCTCCAGTTCAAGGAAGAGAAGCTGAGAAAGTTGTTGACCCTGCTGTTGGGGAAGATGCGAGTAGGGTGCTCTAATTAGTTGCTATTTACGTTGGTGTTTCTTTTATCTATTATTATGCTGTTAATTTGACTTTCTTTGCGGTGCATCTCATCACTGATATCCAACTCTTGTGTAGTTGTGTGTCGTAATTTTATTGGATGTGATTAGACTTGCATAGAGTTGTAACTTTGATGTGCCTAACCTTGCTAAAATTACGACCGTGGGTGCCTTGTTTGTCAAGTTTTTCTGTCGGTTTGATTAAGCTTTTGANAACTGCTTAAATGAAATATAAGGATACAACCTATGTTACCAATACTTCCAAAAAATTATTCTAAATCAAAGCAAAATAACTTGCCAATATTGTAAAAATAGATTAGCTTTTACTTCTCATCCGAGTCGAGCTCTCCATGACATACAACAGTAGAGAGCTGAGGTATATGAAGTCAGCACCTTGCTCATGGAAAAGTCATACTGGGATTTTGCAAGCTTACTTCTCTGTATTTGTTAGCATTCTGGTGACCATGTTTTTTTTGGGGGGTTTACTTCTGGATACCAAATTTAATATGGTAAACATTAATACTATTTGTTATCCTATTAAATTACTATATAAAACATAACACATGTTTAAAGGTATACAATGAATGAATCGTATATGCATGTTTTCTAAATTTTTATATATATATATATATATTTTTTATTTTACCATAAAAATATCTTTTAATATGCATCATACAGATTTCTTGGTGATCTGTCCTGTGCTTATGATGTGTATACTATTAAAGGGTTGGTTTCTAATTGAATGATATGTGTGGCTACCATATGATCGGTTTCATATTGCACTTATCGCAGGTTGACATGGATATGGAAGATGATATTGGAGATGTATTACCTCCAGTTCAAGGAAGAGAAGCTGAGAAAGTTGTTGACCCTGCTGTTGGGGAAGATGCGAGTAGGGTGCTCTAATTAGTTGCTATTTACGTTGGTGTTTCTTTTATCTATTATTATGCTGTTAATTTGACTTTCTTTGCGGTGCATCTCATCACTGATATCCAACTCTTGTGTAGTTGTGTGTCGTAATTTTATTGGATGTGATTAGACTTGCATAGAGTTGTAACTTTGATGTGCCTAACCTTGCTAAAATTACGACCGTGGGTGCCTTGTTTGTCAAGTTTTTCTGTCGGTTTGATTAAGCTTTTGAAGTTTAGGTTTCCTGGAAAAAGCTGGGAAAAAGTGGGATGCTGAAGGGGAACATCCAACAGAAGTGAGGGAATTGGGTAAAAGCAAATGGTCAGAAGATTTCAGTGAAGATGACATTGGTCAAACGGAAGGTATGAAGGGCAATATTAATGCTCTGTCTGGGTTAATTCATCAATATGGCAAGGAACGAAAATCTGTACATTGGGGTGATCAGGTATGATATATTTGTTTTGTGCTGTTATCTGAAGCTTAGAAAGTACTATTTGAAGTCTCCTTCAATCTTATATTTTGGTACCAAAAATAGCATTCTTGTTTAAATTCCTCTGGAAAGAAGGAAGGGAAATGGGGTGATGCAGGGATTGAATGTAAGACATGAAGTTCTCTATGGTAAAGATGGAGGCATGAGCTATCGGTTAATTGGTGTCCCTTTTTGAATTTTATTCATCTTTCTATTTTTTTCTTGCTTGAGGCGTTGAGGGTGTCGAAATGTAGAAAAAGGAAAATGACTTAAACTATTATATTAATATCAATTATTAGGTTTGGGGTGTGTTGAAACACGGCTACAACAAACAGTGGTAAAACCTGCTTTTTGTGGCTTTCATTACTTAGCCATTTCCTTAATCTCCACATTCCCGCTCCCCTTTCTTTGCAATTATCCTTTCAGGGTGGCAAGACAGGATTTTCAATAGGGGCTGCCAGGAAGGTAAATGCTTTGTCTATAGTCATCGGACCTGGTGCTGGATACAACCTGGTTAGTGGTTTGATTTCATGTTTCTTAAATTTCAGGAACAGCATTTGCTATTTAGTTCACCTTTTTCCTTTATGGTTTGTTCTGATAATAATCTATCTTTCAAGATTTTGTATTGTCTGTTTTCCATCTATTTCCGGAAGTAAATAGGCTGCATGCTCAATAATTTTATTTGCTGACTTGCCCCAAGTTGAAGATTTTTTCACCAAGGATTTTAGAACTTTTTCATGGGGAAGATCCTGTATATGAACCCTTTCATTTTGTATTAATGCACAGAAATCTAATCCATTACCTGAAGAAGATAGTCCAAGCCGTAATAGTGTGGAATCAAAAAAGCATAGCATATTTCAAGAACGAATCCGGGCAGAACGAGAATCCTTCAAAGCTGTCTTTGATAGGAGACGACACAGGATTGGCGGACTTGATGTGGAGGAAGACTAAAAAAGAGAGCGACAGCAATGCAAGATGCTTTCACAAAATATGCACTGGATAAATTATTTCCAGGATTTGAACCCGTCACAAGAAGACAGTTCTACTTTCCTGATGTAATCAAAACAGACGGGTTAATCTCATACTTTCAATTGTTAGAGTAGTTTAAGTGACAGAGCAGAGGTGAATTTTTGTGAAATGATGTAAATTTTATCCAAGGATAATATATATACACCGGATGTATTAAGCTCAGAGTGTAGGTTTTCCTTTCCTTTTCCTTGTTCAAGCTCGTTTTTTTGACATTTATAAACGTGAATTACGCTGAAAAAGAATTGGGTTGAAAGTCGTCTGCAAACGGAATACACTTTTGTTATTGCATCTTTCAAGTACGAATTGTCGTGCGTGATGATTTTACAGATACGATGGTAAAGAAAGGTTCGATTCACAAGTTCTCAGATACGATATCCTCTATAAACTAAGGTTCTAAATCCAACTGTTGCCTAAATTGAGGCACAACATTGTTATGATTTCATCACTTACAACAGTCCATAATACTCGAAATAGCTAAAAGCTTCTTGACAATCTATGAGACACTGGTGGATAAAGTCAAGATTAACTTCATACATAAACCATTGTCTTGTAGTCAGTCTTTGTTGACCATATGAAAGAAAACCCTCTTGCACCGTTGGCTTCCTCCGAACCAATCCTGGTTTGAAACAATGGAAAACCAGAGTTGCTTTCATGACTTGATCTCCGGAGTAGGAGTTACTCGCACCAAATAACACAACTTGCATGACAATATGCACTTAAACAAAAATATTTCTGCAAAGTTAGCAGCAGAAACATACCAATAACAAAATAATGATAAGGTTCTGAGATAGTTGTAGTAAACTAATGTGTACTATATATCTACCAAAAAGTTAAATAAAACGTTCCTTACTGGTTTTATTGAATTGATAACGCTCTGTTGCTTAGCAGGTTTCTTGTATAAAAAGTTAAATTTGGGCATATCAATCATTGAATACAGGTCAACCCACATTTAACACAAACAAGTTACCTTAATTTACTCCCTTCACCGTAATATATTCAAACCTTGAAATTAAAGTTGTATCATTATATTTTATTATACTTAAATTCATTTTATTTATTTTTAGTTTCATCTCGTCGCTTTTCATCATTCCAATCGTGACCTTAATTTTTTTTTTATGATTTATGATTGGTGAAAGTGAAAAAGTAGATTATGTAATTAAGTGCATGTGTGTTAACAGATAAATTAATTCAAAAGTAACAATTAAAAAATAATTCTTTTGAAAAATTTCAGTTAGGTTTACATTAGTGAAATACAAAATAACCTAAAAGAGTCAATAGAACTTTGCAAATCCGGTAAAAAAAAGTGCATATTGATCATAAATCTCCCAAAGAAGGAAAACTTTCAGTTGAACCGGCAATTTTTTTTTTCCTAACTTCTTATTTGCATTTGCTTATAGAACATGAAATCCCTTATTTCATGATTTTGGTTCGATGTCACGTGTTATGACGTACACATTGTTACTCCCATAAACACATAAGAATATATCCTCATTGTTAATAGTAGTTCATAGCGCTGAGTAGAGTATATCAGATTGATCCTCCAAAATAAAATTAACAATTTAAAGTTTTGTTTCAGAAGTATTTATGTATTGATAAAAAAAATGACAGTAACCAAAGATATTTAAAATTTCAAGATAGTCAATAAATGAATTTTGTATTAATCAGAAAATCTACCTTTTCCCCTTAACATAAGAGGAGATGTTAACAAAAGCTAAATATATTTTTTACTAGAGTGGTCCCTGTAATAAGAAAGATCCAAGAAGAAATAATGAAAAATGGATGTGTTCAGACACCGCCGAAAGAGGGTGGGTGGAGATAAGCAACGCAAGGAATAGTATGCTTTTGCACGTGTTACAAGACTACATAGGTCAATACTCGATACCACCCAAAACTTTTATGTTCGAATGACTCAAGTTTGGAATATCAATGTTCAAGCAAGTAAAGCAACCCAACCCACCAACTTCATCATCAAGGAAACAAGAAAACTAAAGAACGCATCAATACCACCATATATATACCATTCGCAGATTGCATGAAAAATATAACATTCTTTCTGAATGGCCAGGGCTAGGGGGGATAGAATGGTTGGAGGAAGAACGTCGGCAGGAACTCCAGTTCTACAACAGATAGTACCTAATTCTGGATGGACACAGGACTCTGCGGGCCATTACCTTCTGGTGGATCTTCCTGGTATTTCAAACACCTAATTCACTTTTCAACAAAGAATATGCGTATCAACTGAGAAGAATTCGATAAACCTAATTAAGAGATACCAATGTGAATAGTTTATTTGTACTTTTTTTGGCTTGCTTCTTTAGAATCACCCAACTGAAAAACCTGTCTGCTTTTAAGGTGCACGCGTGCCATGTTATTTGCAATTGCTAGGACTTCTTGTGCAGTTTTCAATACGGATTGATACCAAGAAAACAAGAATAACTGATTTTTTTTTTCTTTTGCTCGTCTTGCTTCTTCAGAATTCAGGAAGGAAGAGGTGAAGCTCCAAGTTGATAGCTATGGCCGTATTGTTGTAAAGGGAGAAAGGCAAATAAATGCGTGGAAACACGACCATTTTCGGCTGACTTTTCCTGCTCCACCGGACTCTGATATGGATAGGATAGCCGGAAAGTTTGACGGTGGAGTCCTTTTTGTCACTATCCCCAAGCAAGTAACGCAACATAGCAAAGTAGGTGAACTCGGGAAAGTTGGAAATGGCAAACTTGAAAGGGCAGAAGAAAATGGTAGCCATCGACATGGAAATGGTGAAGATGACAGAGCAAAAGAAAACGATAGCCATCGGCGTGGAAATGAAGTTACAAGAACAGAAAAAAATTATAGTCAAGAGAATGGAAATGACAAAGTTGAAAGAACATAAGAAAATGATAGCCGTGTCAGTGAACATGACAAAGATACAGAGCAAGAAGTAAAAAGAAATGAAAATGAGCGCATCAAAGAATTTCCGGAACAAGTAATAAGGAAGTGGGAGGAAGAATCCATGTTAAGAGGCGCAGTTGATGTTTTGAGGGAAAACAAAGGAATTGTTGTAACAGCTGTTGTAGCCTTTTCCTTAGGGTTCTTGGTATATCGCAAATTCAACAGCAGTGTAAGTTAAGTCCTTTGACCTCAATTGACATATGTATATTCCTCACTTCATTTCTGGTCATGTGTCTCTTACATGTATGTGAATAGAATAAAGTACAATGCAAATATGCAAACATTAATAAGAACAACATCTCCGCTTTATCCATTGTTTTTTCCTTCTTAAAATCTGCATTCACAATTTGATTTGGTTTACAACGCATCAATCTTTTATAACATTGAATAAATGTAGTTATTGAAGGAATTTTTAAGAGGGTTCAATTGGGATAGGTGCGCGTAGCTTAACATACCTTATCATCAATATTCACTGTTATAAGTTATATTTGCTCATGTCTTACCACGTGAAATACTCAAAGTCTTACCTCCTAATTAATTCGCATGTCTTACGAGTCTAAAATGGTTACCATACGAAAGGCGAAGTCTGGACTCGCGATTAATTCACATAGAATTATGAATCTATAATTGCTTCAATTTAGCTTGGCAAAGGACATATGTAACTTTATCAACAAATCCAAATTTCATGTCTGCATCGGCCCTCAACTAAGTAAAAAGGATGAATGAAAGATAGAAGTTATGCATTTCAGATGCAGTTGGTGCATCTCACCAAGGCAATCTTAGAGAAGATAAACCATAACAAAATTATCTTGCTCAAGAGTCCAAGTTCCCTTTTTCTAGAACGCTCAGTTTTTCTCTGAAGCTACTATTCTATAATCTTATGTGGCTTCCATATTGTGATGAATCCTATCAAAATCTTAAAGCTATAAACAAGAGATGACATCACCTCTTCTTTTCAACACCTCCTTTGCATATATGATTTTTTAAACTACAGTGTCTTTTCACTGACCTCATCTTGTATCTTGATCCACATTAATTCTGCCGATTTTGGAATAGCATCATATCCCCAAAATTTACTTTTATCTTACAGGATCAGATACCGCAAGTAGTCCACCAATTTAAAAGAGTAAAAGACCGCATTGGATGTTGATTCGAAAAAGAGAAGCTTCTTTGGCATATGTTCCATAAAGTTGTGAATCGTGACCTAATGTTCCTAACTAGTGAGAGTTTATCTAAAATAAACTAATAAAGCTTCCCTATCCTGAGTTTAACAGAGAACCAATTTACTTACGGAACTTAAATTGTCTGCCTGCTTCTTCTGGTCACAAACTATTTTCTTCTTATTCATGCTTTCTCTTAAAATATACCAGTCTATAAACTTCAAAACGATTTTTCAAATTTCTTATTAAAAGGCTATGATACATCAGAATAATAAAATCGAAAACCTGAATGAGCCAATTCCGGAATGAATGAGGAAAAGAAAGAGCTTGTTGAACACAGTTGGGATATTGGGGAATTGTACCTCCAGGAGCTTCCCGAACACTGGTACAACACCAATAGACAATGTTGCTTGACTTAGAAAAAGGAAAGGTGCTTAGAGTTTGGAGATATAGATGTTGACAAGCGATGCATGGTGAAGAATAAGAAACCAAAGGAGGAGAGGGGGTATAAAGGTGATGCTTTGTCGTTGAACTTTATTCAAAATGCAAGCGCTTTTTGACAAAAAGGAAGGGCCCAAGGTTGGGACGCGGAATCATGTGCTTCCTGCCAAGGCTGTTAACTTCCTTTGACAATTTCATACGGTTATTGACTGCTTACTCAGGGCTAATTACAAGTGAACATTCATATAGTTATGAACGAGGATGGACATGGCACAAGTAAAGGGTCTTTTATATATGGGAATTAGTACACACAATCTTATAAGAATAATATATTACATTACATGAATACTTGCTCTTGAATGTAAGAATAATATTTCACAGTTCAACAGTACTTGGAAACCAGCAACTTTAGTAGATTACTGGATCAAGGGCACAAATAATAAATACAAAGGGAAGAATATATAGCAATATGAAAATGATATAGTGATATAACGAAGCTTTAGTAAATCCAGAATTGAAACATTATTACAGAAAAAGCATAAAATCTTCTCTGAACTAAAATATAATGTAATGATCACAAAGCGCACATGTGCATTAGCAATGGATGTCTAAAACCTAAATATATATTTAGAATAAGGACTTTATGTAGGTGACTGGGAGATGAGTGCAACAGAGAGAATGAGGAATAGAGAAAGGAGAGGTACTTGGGTCATTGTGGGAAGCCATTGAAATAAATAATAAAATATTAGCATCTTACTCCTAATATATATTCTAAAATAGGAATTAAGAAAAAGTGTGAGATGGATAAGAGAAAGGGTGAGTGGAGGGAATTGAAAAAGTTGGAAAGAAATCCTTGGCGAGAGAGCATGGAATCTGATGTACCCACTGTCATCACAACAAAGTTCAAAACCGTCCTCCATCCAAAAAATAAAAAATATAAATAAATATAAATAAATATAAATATATACAATTAAAAACAAAAATACACCACAGGACGCAAACGCAAGACGAACCTTTCCTTACCTCTGTCAAACGCTGATCAGAGTCAGTGACCGCTATCAACGGCCCACTGTGTAAGTTCGTTTATCCTCATTCGGCGCATCCAAGCCTCAACCAAAATGATAAGATGACGACGCCGTTTCAGCAACCACCCCAAATCGTACGGAGACTGGTCGTAGAAGTCATCGACGCGCGCAATCTTCTCCCCAAAGATGGCCAAGGTAGCTCCAGCCCTTACGTGGTCGCGGACTTCGACGGCCAGAGGAAGCGAACCACCACCCGCTTCAAGGAGCTGAACCCGGTCTGGAACGAGCCCCTCGAGTTCATTGTGTCCGACCCAGATAATATGGAGTTCGAGGAGCTCGAAGTTGAGGTCTACAACGATAAGAAGTTCGGCAACGGTAGCGGACGCAAGAACCACTTCCTCGGGAGGGTTAAACTGTATGGTACTCAGTTTTCCCGAAGAGGCGAAGAAGCTCTTGTTTACTACACGCTGGAGAAGAGGAGTGTCTTCAGTTGGATAAGGGGAGAGATTGGCCTCAGGATTTATTACTATGATGAAATGCTTAATGAAGAGGAGAAACCGCCGCCGCAGCAGCCGGAGGAGCAGGGTGAGAGACCGGAGCAAGAGCGGAACAGGCCTCCGCCGGGAATGGTGGTTGTTGAGGAGGGAAGGGTTTTCGAGGCGCCTGGACCGATGGACCAATGCGTGCCTCTTCCCACTGGTCTTCCTCATTCGCCGCATGTAGTGCTTGTGGAGGAATCGCCGCCTCCGGTGGTTCATGTTCAGCAGGATCCGCCGTTGCGGGAAATGTCTGAGCCTCCGCTGTCGGAAATGCCGTTTCATCCGGAGGTGAGGAAAATGCAGGCCAACAGAGGCGAGAGGGTGAAGATTTTGAAGCGGCCCAACGGGGACTACTCGCCTAAAGATATCTCTGCAAAGAAAACGGGTAATGAGTCCGAGAGGGTTCATCCGTTCGATCTGGTGGAGCCGATGCAGTATCTGTTTGTCAAAATCGTGAAAGCTCGCGGGGTTGCTCCTCCCAGTGAAGCCCCGTTCGTGAAGGTCAGGACGTCGAGCCACAACATGAGATCGAAGCCAGCGAATTTCAGGCCCAACGAGCCCACTGATTCGCCGGAGTGGAACCAGGTATTTGCGCTTGGTTACAACAAGACCGACGCTAACAGCGCCACCCTGGAGATTTCCCTCTGGGATTCCTCGACAGAAAATTTTCTGGGCGGTGTTTGCTTCGACCTTTCCGATGTTCCAGTGAGGGATCCTCCCGACAGTCCCTTGGCGCCGCAATGGTACCGTCTTGAAGGAGGAACTGCCGATCAGAATCCTGGCAGAGTTTCCGGCGACATTCAGCTCTCTGTTTGGATTGGCACGCAATCCGACGACGCATTCCCAGAAGCGTGGATCTCAGATGCACCGCATGTTGCACATACTCGATCCAAGGTTTACCAATCGCCAAAGCTCTGGTACCTTCGCGTGACGGTAGTGGAAGCACAAGACCTTAATATTGCGCCGAATCTGCCTCCACTGACAGCGCCGGAAGTGAGGGTGAAGGTGCAACTAGGGTTCCAATCGCAGCGAACAAGACGAGGATCAATGAACCACAGAAGCTTATCCTTCCACTGGAACGAGGACCTTCTCTTCGTGGCCGGGGAGCCTCTGGAAGATTCTGTCATCCTTCTGATAGAAGATCGCACTAGCAAGGAAGTGGCTCTCCTAGGCCACATCGTGGTTCCGCTGAGCTCCATTGAGCAACGAATAGACGAGCGACACGTGGCGGCGAAATGGTTCCCGTTAGAAGGTGGGCCCTACTGCGGGCGAGTCTTCCTGCGTCTCTGCTTGGAGGGCGGGTATCACGTTCTGGACGAAGCGGCGCACGTGTGCAGCGATTTCCGTCCCACGGCGAAGCAGTTATGGAAACCGCCGGTGGGTATTCTAGAGCTGGGGATTTTGGGCGCTCGAGGGCTCCTTCCGATGAAATCAAAAGGCGGTGGAAAAGGCTCCACCGATGCCTACTGTGTGGCCAAGTATGGGAAAAAGTGGGTCCGAACCCGCACCGTAACCGACAGCTTTGATCCACGCTGGAACGAGCAGTACACGTGGCAGGTTTACGATCCCTGCACGGTCCTTACCGTTGGAGTGTTCGACAACTGGCGCATGTTTGCTGACGTGCCAGAAGATAGGCCCGATTGCCGTATCGGCAAGGTTCGCATACGCGTCTCTACGCTTGAGAGCAACAGGGTGTACACCAATTCCTACCCCCTCCTAGTCCTCACACGAACCGGGTTGAAGAAAATGGGAGAAATAGAGTTAGCGGTTCGTTTCGCCTGCCCCTCCTTGTTGCCCGACACCTGTGCAGTTTACGGTCAGCCACTGCTTCCACGAATGCACTATCTGCGGCCGCTGGGAGTGGCGCAGCAGGAGGCGCTGCGTGGGGCCGCGACAAAGATGGTGGCGCAGTGGCTGGCCAGGTCAGAGCCACCGATGGGGCACGAGGTAGTTCGATACATGTTAGATGCAGACTCGCACGTTTGGAGCATGAGGAAGAGCAAGGCGAATTGGTTCAGAATCGTGGCGGTTTTGGCTTGGGCCATTGGTTTGGCGAAATGGTTGGATGATATAAGAAGGTGGAAGAACCCTGTTACCACGGTGCTGCTCCACATTCTTTACTTAGTGCTTGTTTGGTATCCAGA